ACCCCCATTCCCCCCTTTATCGGTTGATATTGACGTAATAAAGTTGAAAATCTTATTGTCCTTTCTGCTTTTATTATTAAAATATGCCTTATTAACTAAACATATAAATATATATACCAGTGAACTTTATTTCTTTTTATATAAAACATCATTTTCATTTTATGTCATTTCCTTCGTTTTTGCTTATACGTCGTTGCCTTATTATAGATATTACCATAAATCATGCAAATAAGAGATACGATAATACATCATTTGAAATTGATCTAACTAACTAACAATGTGAACGTTAAATTGGTCATTAAAGATAACAGAAAAAATTTGAAATATTATTTAACGATTATTCGAATCACATATGAAATTGCATATGATATTATTAGAAATGTTAAATTATAATTAATGTTACTTGTTAATTTGATTAAATTTTAATAATAATAATAATAATTCTACGAATATTTTGTTCAAATTCAATAGAAAATTTGGATAAAAATAATGTTGGAACGTGCGAAAAAAATTCAATAGAACATTTTTATTACAAGCTTATAAACTTTAGTATCGTATTTTTACTTAACGAATTTGAGCTTATCACGATTCGTTGATTATGTATGTATTATATATTACGTTGCAATACTATCGTCGTACGATTATAAAATAAATTGAACTCGTGGATTATATAAAGTTGGTAATAATATTATAAACTGTAATATATATTTGTTCATTTTTACCGACGAGATTATTTATAGTAATCAGTATAATCTCACACTAGTCAGTCTCGGGATTAATATAAAAATGAGAATGATCGATCTCATTATCGTAATATTTAAATATCGTTTTATCATGTTAGGAAATAAAATAGGTCATTCAAATGCAGAAGATAGGTCACGGGGATCACTATGATCATTTTCTTTAGGTAACCTTCACTTTTCTTTCTTTCTTTCTTTCTTAATTTAATAAGAAATGAGAATCAGGATATCAGACTTGAAATAAAAAGAAATTTAAGAGTCGTACGATGCGTTACGTAATCGTACCATAGTTTTAGAACCAATAGGATTTTCGTGAAATATCTTCTTTTTTTTTTCTTCGATACTTACGAAAAATACTGATGTCGAATTTTTCTATCGAAGAAAATTTCTACATTTTTTGTTGTTTTTTCTTACGCGTTTACCAACAACTGTGAATGAAATTATAATCTTATATTTCTTTTTCTATTTTTGTTTTAAATCGATAATATATACTAATTATCTCTTGACATTAGTATTAAAAACTGTACGTTCAAATTTTCATTCAAACGAGCTAACAAAAATGAAACAAAAGGGGAAGAAGTAAATTTTCCTTCATCGTAGAACATTAATATGATTTACATCTACTAACTATTAATATATACTTAACATTACGATGATGTTTTTTATACGTAGTTACCAACAGGGATTCTCAAATTTGGCAAAGTTATTAACGTTTCGATAAGATACACTTATCGTAAGTGTCATTTCCTGTTTTTTTCGAATAAATAATTGGGATCGTTCTTTATAAAGTTAGTTTTAAATCACGTGTGATATAACAGTAAGTGTACTCATTAGGAAACCGTTAAAAACAAACTCGTCTTATCATTTCGGTTTAAATTATATTACTTTAATCCTATTTTATTATTATTTAAAATTATTTATTTTATTTGTTAATTCGTTAAAACAAACTCGTCTAATCGTTTCGATTTAAATTATATTACTTTAATCCTATTTTATTATTATTTAAAATTATTTATTTTATTTGTTAATTCGTTAAAACAAACTCGTCTAATCGTTTCGGTTTAAATWATATTACTTTAATCCTATTTTATTATTATTTAAAATAATTCATTTTATTTGTTAATTCGTTATATAGTTAGTAAATAAGTAAATATTAATCGCGAAAGATTTTAATGATCCTTCTTTCATTTATCGCAAAAATCCAAATTTTATTTTTGTTGTCCCTCGTATTATCATTAGAAACAAAAGAAAAAAATCCTTGAAATCGGAGTAAGATAAATGAATCATCGTCTTACCAATAAAATGCTATCTCGTTGCCCTTTCCATTGTTAACGTTTCTGTCGAGTAGATTAAAACTGATATTAGTTTTAGCCCCCTCCATCCATTTAATAAATATTTCTCCCTTGGACAGGTCGAAATTGTAAGAACAAAATTTCTCATCTCTCGCTGGTGTTTCCCAATAAAATTTATTAGCTATCTCGCTCCAAAATTTGACGGGATTTTTTAAAGAGCTAAAAGATAAAATTTCTTCGATATATAAATCTATATTATTTTTATATTCACATATTATATAAAAATATATTATATAGATATTTTTTTGAATGAAAGAAAAAACAAAATCAATTTCATTGATAAACGTTTGACAATGAATTTTTTATATAAAACATATTTATTACACTGGTATAATTGGATCGATATTAGATTTCTATTTCTATATATTTCATTTTTCTGACAGATAAAACGATAATATATATATATTTAAAATAATAATACAATTATTTTATATTATCACACATATATAATTACATGTGTGCAAAAATTGTAATTGACAAGATAATATTTTATTATATTATATTTCATTATATAATTTCTACATTCTACATTATTTATTTTGTCATTATTCTTTTTGATAATAAACAAGAAGATATTAACGATATTAATATGATAGGTTATATATAAAATTAGAAAAATCAAATGAAACATTATTCGACACATAATAATTTTATATTATTACAATCTTTTTTTCATTTTATTTATAAATAAAAAATTAAATAAATATATATATATCGATAAATATGAAAATAGTAATCAATTAACAAATCGCGAATTGTATAAAATAAGAGAAAAATAAGTAATTATAATTCGTAAAATGAAATACAAAGAGAGAAGAAGAAACGTGTGGCCTACAATCGAACGGCGCACGCGCCATTAAAATCCATAAGAGCCATCGAGTTCGATCGTTTCCTTGTCATCCCTTCTTTTCTACTACCATCTTTTAAAAAACAACCCTCGACAACTCTTCTCATCATTTACCACAGAGAACCTTCAATTATTCTAATAAGATTTCATGAAAAGAATAAATTCTCCTTATCTCTCTCTAATTCTCTTTTCACTTACTCGGAATGCAACTGCTTGTATTCTGCCATACTCGAACAATAAGCATTTTGCGCCAATTCTCTACTCGGATGGTATATCCTGTCCGCCATTTTATTTTTTTCTCGTGTTTTTTTCCCTTTTGTTTTATTTCTTTCCTTTTAATTTGCCTTTACAAATATCCCACCCCTATCAACTTATTATATCGATTAATTATTCTATATTTGAATATTTCAATTTTTCTTTTTTTTTATGTCACAATATTTTCAATGAATAAATACGATTAGAAAAAGAAAATTTATATATATATATATGTTCGAAGGCTTTTGCTTTGACTTTTTTTTTCGAATTTGCCGGATTCGGATTAAAGTAAGAAAGGATGACAGGGGTGAGGGCAACGGGAGGGGCTGAGGGTTGTCCAGGGACGATCGATATTATCGCGAAAAGAAAAGGATGATTTTGATAAAAAAATATGTCGAATTACGATAAAATGAAGAGAGAATTTTATATTACGGATCGGATATTGGAAATGTTAGAATATAAGAAAGAAGTGGATAAGTGGATAAGGTGGAAACACGGCTTCTTATTTTCCACCACCTGTACTAATTTTTCGTTTTCTCAGTTAACACTTTACCGGCTTGGCTGATAAACCGCGACTGATTCCTACGTTTAACAGGAGAGAGGTTCTCTGCTCGTGGTTCTCCTCCTCTTCCTCCTCCTCCACCCCTACCACCACCACCTTTTTGCCATCGTCATAGGCGTCGTTGAAGGCCGCATTGTGAAATATTGTGGTGGGGAAGTTAGAGGAAGGAATCAGCAAATATGTCAGGAACGTCATCAATTCATACACGTTGACGAAATATTCGGCTCTCTCATTTCCCCCATCTCACACCACTCCACTTTATCCGACAGCACACCACCCCGCCGCCATTTTTCCAATACTTTCTTTACTAATTATTATTATTATTATTATTATTATTATTATTATTATTATTATTTTCTTTTCTTTTTGTTAATTGTTCTTCTTAAACGTTCGTGCTGCTAATGAAATTCTTTCGAAATAATTATTTGTCAATTTATTTATGCGATCTAATTATTTCTTCTTCTTTATTTATTTTTTTTTTTTCTACTCTCCTCAATTAAATTTTTCATAGTCATCGTTGATACTCATTCACATATTACCCTACACACACACACACACGCATGCATCTGAATTTATTCCAATGCGTATTTTATGTTGTGTTGTTGTTGTTCTTCTTCTTCTTCTATATAACCAAAGAATAAATTCATTTGAAATTTCGATTCTCTTTTTCTTTTTTTTTTTTTTTTTTCTTTTTCTTTTCTAACTATCAGAGACTCGTTTACATATACTGTATAACTGACGTAACAAAATTTATAAATACATGTAGGAAATGTATTTGGAACTTTTGTTTGCAATTTCCATGCGAACAACGGATATGAATATATATATATATATATATATATATATATATATATATTTGCAAAACGAAAGAGAATGTGTAAATGGCACTGTAAACGTCATTTTTAAAAACTATTTTACTGAACACCTTTTTTCTATTTCGTAACAAGATAGATAAGGCTATTGTGATAACTAGTTCAGATTATTATACAGATTGCACACACAAGAAATATTTTCTCAGGTAGAACAAAAGATATATATATATATTATTTTCATTCTATCCTCTCTCTTTAATTCTATGTAATAAAATAATAATAATATAAAAATAGAACATTTCAAAATAATGATTATTACGATAAGAAAAATAAGAAAATTATAATTCAGGATTGTGACGAGGATGAAATATATGATTGAAATTTTGCGAATCATAATAAATATACCCGTGGCACCTTTGTTTTTTCATGCACCCTTGTGCATCAGGAAGATCGATACAAATTTATACTCTCGCATTTCTATTTTCAATATTCTTTCTCTAAATTTTCTTATTTATCTCTCCCTTTTTTTTTATTTATCTATTCATTTATGTCATAAACGTCGTGGTACTTCACTGTTAAAAAGTCATTGTTATTAAATATAAATTTTATCTTCTCATGTGCAAATTGAATGTTACATTTTAGTGTTATGTTTTTTTTTCTATTCATTTCTTAAAACATAATAACTTCCGGTATATTATTTAGCTGAAATAATGGACGATTATAATAATATAAATATTCGATATGAGAAAAATCACATTCTTAAAAATTTAAATTAAGTCTCGTAATATTAATTTCATCATTCATTACTGATGTTTCATTTAATATTAATTGAATAGAAATGGTGTAAAAGAAATCTCTTAATATTCATGTCGTTGTGCAAATAAGAAAACAAAGTGCAAGTTTTCATTTTCATATTGCGTCAGTAATATATTATTTATCATTTGCTAGATACATTAACAATATTGTTAGAAAATTCTAAGTCGGTTTTTTTAATTATATTTAATAAGAGAAAATGATTGATTTTTCTACTTTTCCTGTAATATACATGAATTCATGTTTTCATACAAAATATTATTACTTGATACAATTTAAATGTGTAGATCACAAAAAAGTTGGCATAGAACCGCAACAGCAGAAAAAAATGAATAATTGCACCTTAATTGCTCAATCAAAATCCATAATTGCATACTTTATATTAATAAATTATTTCATTAGTTATTAATAAATGAATAATCGAAAATAAACTCGGTCGGTAAAACAGTTTTACGCTCTGTCAATAATACAGGTTTTATACTTGGCTGGTAAAACAGGTTTTATATACTCGGTCGATAAGACCGTTTTAAACTCGGTCGGTAAAACAGTTGTAATACTTGGTCGGTAACATAGATATATTTTAGTCGCTAAACAGATTATTTACTATAAAAAATTTTTTTTGTAGAAAAAAAAGAATAGTTGCAGGGAATTGCAAATTAATTAATTACTTAAAATCAATTATTGCCTTTTTTATTTACGCAGTTTTTACTTTGGTAGCTCTGATGGTTAAACAGATGAATTTTTGGTCGGTAAAACAGAGTACCGACATTAACAAAATTTTCACTGCAGAAAGAAAAGAATATTTGCAGTAAATAGCAAACTCATTGATTATTTTAAATCAATTTTTGTTTGTTTTCTATAAAAACGCATCGATCGATTTTTCACGAGGGAAGCTTTTCTTGTAATTTTTTTCTATCTGTATTTAAATGTTTTTACTTACATTTCTTAATTTTTAATTACATAACAGAAAGAAAGAAAAAAAACAACAACAAAATAACACGCGTATAAATCGTTAAATAATATAATCAGCAAAAATCGCAGAATCAGATAACATAAAACAATGAATAATTCCATAGAACGCACCTAAGGCATATACTTAACATTGAATTTCATCAAATTCAATAGGATTCCAAGCAAAGACGATGCATTTTATACACCATCGCAAACTAAGATAAGAATACTTGAATAAACGAAGGAAAGGGAATATAATATGTTGCAAGAAGTATGTGGAAGGACACGTTCTAAAGATAATATTCTTTTGCAAAATAAAATTGCAACTATTTATCGATTATTTCTAAAAATACTCTATAACCAAATGGTCACCCCAACTATTATGGGGTAGGGGGGCGCGATTCAACCTTTTTTCCGTGTTATATAAAATAACAAGTTGGAAAAAAATGTATGAAGAATAATATTTAAAAAAAAAAAATATATAAAAGAAAAGAACCCGTAATTTAACGTCATATAAACCTACAAACGTGTTCGTAAAATTTGGATAAGGGTTGGGTTATTTCGATGGTACCAGTATCGTAAAAAAGAAAAAAGAAAAAAGAAATGAAGAAAAAAGAAAAAAGAAATGAAGAAAAATAGAACGATATCGGGCAACTTTTTTGATAATTTTCGAACAATCCACCCGAGGTCTTTGACCATTTTTCCAAGGTCTCGTGGGTTTGCCGTGCAAGCTTGCTATTCCCTTCCCCCCATGCATAACCCATTCTGCATACAAAGTATCGTCGATTGCTATATACTCGAATACTTTTTTTTATCTTCCTGTTTTTTTTTTTTTTTTTATTAATAGGTATCTCACGTATGCGATAGTAGAAGCTCCTCTTCATTTTCCTTTTCCTTTTTTTTCCTTTTCTTTGTCTCTTCTTCTCTTTCTCTCTTTTTCTTTCCGTTTTTTTTCTTTTTTTTTTCTTTTCTATTGCATTTACTGTTAGGGAAGAGGAATAGTCCTGGCGTATATATAAAGCCGTTCGAGGACTCCGACCGAAGATTATCATTCCGCCACGTGTTGCATACACTCAATCAATACGCGCGTATTTTGTGTAAAAGAAAACAAAAAGAAAAAAAAAAAAAGGAAAAAGCAAAAAAAAATATATATACTACCAGACATCCGTTTCAATTAAAATTTCGTTCGATTATAAATAAAGTGACGTTATTCGATAGTTTGCAGTACGACGAGTAATTAACGGTGGTGGAAGGGAATTTGAAAAGGAACACACAAAAAAACAAAAGCAGAAAAAATTAATATAATTAGAAAAATTCAATCGATTAAATATTGTTTTGATTTGATGACTAACACGACAATGAAGATTTGTCGATTATACGTTTTTTTAATTTTCGCTAGTATCTTCGTTGCATCGGATAAAGTACGTTACGATGGTTTTAAAGTTTATAAAATATCGGTTGACAACAAGGACAATTTAAATACATTGACGAGTATGGAGGAAGAGGAAGAAGACGTGGGTTATCAATTTTTAAATTATCCGAGAATGAACGATTCATCGTTGCTCGTAGTTCCACCAGAAAAAATTCAAGAATTTGAGAAAATTGTTAACAATAAGAAAATGACTGCCACGTTGATGATGGACAATCTTCAACGTTACATCGACGAAGAAAATCCTAACGTCGATGGTAGATCCAATTTTGATTGGACAGCTTATCATAAGTTGAACGTGGTAAGATTATAGTTTTTTTTCTTTTTATATAATATATATTATTATTAAATATAAATATAATAAATTAGGTTTCACATATATATATATATATATATATAATATCGTAACACTTCATTTGTTTAATACTTAAATTAATTCATATATGGGGATAATAATTAAAGAAAACTCTGAAATATTGAAAAAAAATCATTATTAAAATGATATAATGATAATAATAATGATGGTATTAGTAAACGTAAAAATAATATTTTTCCTATTTTAACCAATCGATAAATGATATAACAAATTCCCAAATATTTAACAATAATTATTATACGACAACATATTTATCATTTTAGATATATCAATGGATGGAAAGTCTCGCACAAGATTATCCAAAAATTGTTAGTACACTGGACGCAGGAATAAGTACACTTGGTACCCCTATAAAAGGTTTCAAACTTCGATTCAATCCGAATAAAAATAGTTCGATTTTTTTGGAAAGTGGTATTCATGCAAGGGAATGGATTTCGGTTGCAACAACTACATACATAGCAAACGAATTAATATTTAGCAAAGATCCTGTTGTGAGAACTTTAGCCGAGTCTTACGTTTGGTATATATTTCCTGTTTTCAATCCGGACGGATACGAATATACACATTCTACGGTAAGAACGAAATTTTTTACTTTCTTTATCATTCAGAGACCAACAGTGTCGTATCAATATTTATTTTACATCGTTTTGATAACATTTCCATTTATTATTGATCTTTACTTTATTTCTTCCAAATGTAACTACAATCTTCTTCATTTTATAATAATATAATTACATAATTGTCTTAATTAGTATTACCAATAATAATATTGTAATAATTAATTATACGAGATTAATGTTAATAAAAAAAAACAAAAAATAGATTTTAATTATTATACGCGTGATTCACAATGAAACGAAAAATTTCTCTTCGATAATGATCACAATTGTAACTACATCAAATTGCAATCCTGAAACCATTGAAATTCCCACGAAGGTAATTTTAATATCTCGTTTGAGAATCCCTGAGCTAGACAAAGAAAATCATCGGATTAAGATAAACGTATTATCAGCAGAGATCATTATCTATATTCTCTTAGTTCGAAAATCTTTTTTCAACCTTATTAAATAAATATAAATATCTGCTATTAATATAAAATAATCCAATTGTGTAATCTCAACGAAAAAGATACATACATAAATATATATATGCAAACGTTCTCGATATAAAATCACGAAAATGATGTCGACAGATATCTGATTAAAATCTCTACCGATTTTTTCGCATTATAATGATATGCGACGATTAATCGATTGATCGATAACAAAAGAATTAACCTTTTTCTTTTTCATTTATATTGTATCTTATATACGTAATTAAGTACGTAACCGTTTTAATGATCTACGTTTCTCGATCGAGATATTTTTTTATTAATAGAAACGAAGGCCAATATCTATTAGAAATATTCTTTAACGTAGGAATTTGTTTCTTTTGTTATTGTCGTTGTTGTTGATTGTTGCATGCCCGTATTCAAAATCTGCTAATTTTAACCCACAACGCGTATTAAGATTGCATAGAAAACCTACGACAGTAAAAAAACTAATATGTTCAACTTATGGCTCAGTAACATCTCATTGGTTATCCATAATTGTTTGCCTTAATTATTAATTATTTCACAAGTTATAGATAATTAAAAAGATGTTAATTTAATACGCTGCATCTTATGCATAAATTCATTACCACGAGTCAGACACGTGGCTTTTATTTATAACACGAATTCTTTACCACGAGTCAGACTCGTGGTTATAGGCCTAGGTGTTAACAATAAAACAATTATTTATTTATACGATGAGAAATGTGTTTTAAAAGCAATGACTCTTTAAATTGTAATGTTTTTAATTAATCACACGTATCATCAGATAAGATTTTGTATTCGAGAAACGTGAAAATACCCAAGTACAAAGTACTTCTATAGAAACGATACGATATCAATAGATTTTGTTTTTTATTTTTATTTTTTTCTTTCTTTCTTTTTTTCTTTTTTTTTTTTTTGTAGAATCGATTGTGGAGAAAGAATTTGAAACAATCCACGTGGAGATGCAAAGGAGTTGATCTTAATCGTAATTGGGATTTTCATTGGGCAGGTATAAAAAAAGAAAAAAAAATTAATCTTTTATATTTTAAATATATAATTAAATTACTTATTAAATTTGTTGTCCTTCTTTTTTTGTATTTTGTTTATATTTAAAAAAAAAAAAACAAAATATCGATATCATCCAATTGACCGAATGAAATTTTTTAATCGATTATATAGAAATCGGTACCAGTCCGTATCCCTGTTCCGAAATTTATGCAGGACCAAGTGCATTTTCTGAAATCGAAACTAAATCAATGTCAACATTTATAAAGAGTATACCAGAAAAATTGACGGCTTATCTAGCGTTCCATAGTTACAGTCAATTGTTGCTTATACCGTTCGGTCATAGCAATAAGAGAATCGACAATTACGATGACCTTATGGAAATAGGAAGGTTTTCCGTCAAGGCTTTGGCTAATAGATACGGTACCAATTACACCGTTGGAAATATTGTCGATGTTATTTGTAAGTATGTTCATCTAACGCATAAACTAATATACAAAATAAAATCAATTAAATTATCTAGATTGTCCTGTTCATTGATAGTTTGAATAAATAAAGTAATTGATAGGTTTGGTAATTATTATTTATATATCAAAAAATATATGCATCTAAAGTTGTTGATCAATTTTCATGCCATTGAAATATTTGCAATTTTATTTGATTATATTTAAATTTTGGTAGATCCAGCAGCAGGTGGTTCAATGGATTGGGTACGTTCCACTATTGTTCCTCCTATAACTTACACATACGAGCTTCGTGATAAAGGTCGATATGCATTTTTATTACCATCAAATCAAATAATACCTACTGGAGAAGAAACTATGGATTCATTGATCGGAATGTTTCAAAAAGCATCGGATCTTGGATACTGATATCACTATCATAATACTTTATTCATTATCCTTCTTATAATTTTTATTTATTATAATTCATTTTGTTTATCGTGCGATCAAATTATTTCTAATAATTATTATATAACGTTTCATTATATAAATTATATATTATATATAATAATTCAATTATTTCAATTATATCTATACTTATAATATAATAACACATATAAAGAGAGAAATATTACTCTATCGAATATATCAACAATAATATTATAAAAGTGAATGTAAATATTAGTCATGTCGATCGTTCTAATATTGGTCGGCTAATCGATCGTTGAATCTAATCGATTATGGTCTCGAGTGGTTAGATAAAAAAAACTTGTCGCAGGTAATTTAATTAATAAACTAATTCAAATCATTCATTTATGTAATATAGTAATAATAAAGATTTCAATTTTATTTGTTGTTTCGTGTAAGCTTTATTAAAATATCGTATCAACCTACCCCCCTATTCTCCCCACTCCCCCTCCTCACATCCCACGTTCTCCATCGCTGTTAAAATTAATATTTCGATAGATTTATATGTTATGCGATCGAATAGATAATTATAATCGCGATTTTTCAGGATTTCTAAATTGAAAATCATTTTGGTTCGATGAATTATTACTTTTTATCTTTTTTTTTTTTGTTTTTTTTTTTTCCTCAACCCCCGTCATTTCCGACAATGGAAGAGATTTGCTTCTCCTTTTTCTTTTTTTTGTGTCTTCTTTTTTTTATATGGGAAAGAATCAACGTCGATACGCGATAAGTAATCGCGTCGTTTAAAAGAAAAAGAAAAGAACAAAAAAAAGTGTACAAAAAAAAATGTAAAATCTTTTTTCTATAGATTAGAAACTAATTAACGAACGGTGTGCATCGGTGGAAGAGAGAGAGAGAGAGAGAGAGAGAGAGAGAGAGAGAAGTCATTGATCATGACGCGACATCTTGAGGTTTTTTATTTTACAATTTTTTTTTCTTTTTTCTTTGATTCTCCGATAACGACATATAATAATAATAATATCGAAAAATGCGAATACTCGGTGAATCTTTCATATTTTCTTTCGTAATTACGTGATTCTTAATTCACGTATAATAGAGAGAAAAAAAAATAAAATAAATAAATAAAAAATAAACAGAAAACATAAATTATTTATATTAATAATAAATGAATTTTCTTTTTTTCTCGTCTACCTTTAACGATATATAATATAAAAATAAATTTTCTCGTCATATTTATTTAATTTTTAAAAAAAAGAAAAAGAAAAAAGTTTACTATTTTGTTAACGTGTTTACGTTTTTAAACGTTTATTATTTTGCGTATAATAATAGATCGTTGAAATTTATTCACGATCGATTTTTTCGTAGAAAAAAAAAAAAAAAATAAAGAAAGAAAGAAATTGATTATATTAACAGCGAGACAATCTAACAGAGATTATCTTTGAATTAGATTTGAAATACTCTTCCTCAATATTGTGTTACGATCATCGACTAGATAAAAATAATTTGTTTCTACGTAAGAGACCACGGCACGAGAGAATGATAAGAGAAGAATCATTGATCGATTGGTGTCATTGTAAAGAAAAAAAAAAGAAAAAAGACAAAAAATGAAATATGTAAGAACGATCACTGATATCTTGGTGCCGTGTGCAGGTGTTTCCTACTGTTTAAATAGCAGGTCTGATTATCGTACTGGCACATATTTGATTCGTATTCAAACAGGGTAAGAAGTCGGATTTAATGAAAATATAAAAACAATTATTTGAATTGATTATTATAATTTTTGTTTTGTTTTGTTTTGTTTTATCCTCCGCAGAGTTTGCAATCATGTACAAGCTCCTTGCTTTGGTATTGGTTACCTGGGTATCAGCCCAAAAAGCTTCTTTTAATAATTACAAAGTCTTTGGTGTTCTTCCACGTACGGAACTTCAACTTGAAATTCTTCGTCAAATCGATAATCACAATGGCGTAAGTTTTATATATCTTATAAATAAATCTTATATTTAATAAATATAATTTTATAAATAAACATTATATTTCTTCTTCCATTTGATATCATTTCAATAATTAATTAATTAATTATTGATCTACGCGAAATTAATTATGAAATTAAAACAAATGTATAATTAAGTATACAAACAAACAATTTACATAACAATTTTAATATAATTAACGATTATTGCTATTATTATTTTAAAGTAATATTTCAAATTTTATTCATGCAATAATACTAAACTTTATTATCGAATTTCATTTATTATCAATTATATTATTCATTATATTTTATTAAATAAGCATGATAAAACAATAAGAACCAATAATAAACAAAATATAATCGTAAATGTTCTCTTATAGAAAAAACACTAATAATAATTTGTATTTTACAATTATACAACATTTTTGAAAGAAATTTATTATACGATTTTACATATATATATATAATTTGCTCAATTGCATATAACTTTGAATAATTATAAATTTTTTTTTTTTACAGTTTTCATTATGGAATGATCCAAGTATGGTAAACGCTACCATAGACGTTATGGTGTCACCGGACAAGTTAGTAGAATTTTACGAACTTATGGATGTAATTGGTACACCTTATACAAAATTCATCGATGATGTTCAAGACTTGATTGACAACGAGATGTCAAAGGAACAAACTTATGCCAAATCTGGTTTTAAGTTGAACACGTATAACACCCTAGCAGATACTTATGCATACTTGGACAGTTTAGCACAAGATCATCCTGACAAAGTCGAGGTCGTCGTAGCTGGAAAAAGTTACGAAGGTCGTCAAATAAAAGGAGTTAAAATAACATTTGGAAGTAACAAACCTGGAATTGTGATCGAGGGTGGAATTCATGCTAGAGAATGGATATCACCTGCAACAGTTTTGTATCTAATTGATCGTTTCTTGAACAGTGACAATAAGGAAGTTAGGGCATTCGCTGAATCACATAACTGGTACATTTTCCCAGTCACCAATCCGGATGGATACGTTTACACCCATACCAAGGTATGTTAGTTAATTCTGTTATTATTTTATAGATTAATTAGAAAATAATAATCCTAAAGTATATAATTAATTTGTATATATGTGTGTGTTATTTTAATTATATATGTATATATATTTAATTTTATTTTTACACGAAGAATATACATTTAACAACAACAACAAAATAATTTCGCGTAAACAAATATATATTGCATCTATCGAAAAAGAAAGAAGGTTGTTTTAGTCGTAAAAAACATTTATTCAAATAAATTCTATACTTAATGTGGATATATATATAATAATTAATCTTACGTGGGTTTTGATTTTTGCAGAATCGTTTATGGAGAAAAACACGTAAACCTTATTCAGCTTTGTGTTACGGTTCCGATCCAAACAGAAACTGGGGATACAGATGGAACAGTTAGTATTACGATAATATATTTTAATATTAATGTATATTAATAATACTTTATTGTTTCATTCATTCTCTTCGTTCTTTTTTTAGCTGGTGGTGCCAGTTCAAATCCTTGTGCAGAAACATACGCCGGAAGTGGTCCATTTTCTGATATAGAAACTAAATCTTTGTCCGAGTACATCCAATCGATATCCGATCAATTTTTCGCATACGTCTCATTCCACAGTTATTCTCAATTATTACTTTTCCCATATGGTCACACCACGGCTCATCTTGAAAATTATGACGATTTGGTAAGTCACATTTTTTTGATTTTCTTTTATCGTGACAAATAAGTGGCACCCTAAAACCTTAAAACCATCGCATTCGTAAATCCAATCTTTATCTCAATTTATCTCACGTTATAAAATATCTACAATTTATGCCAATTATATTTATGATTGATCGATTATGTGAATTTTCATAGAAATAATGTTTTTTTTTTTTATACACAGTTGGCGGTTGGTAAAAAATCTATAAGTGCATTAGCTAAAAGATACGGCACTGCTTATCGTACAGGAAATGTTGCCGAAACTATATGTAAGTATAATAATATATGTGCGTAAATTTCAATACAAACTAACAATAAATAACGTATCGTTGACACACACACACAAAATCTTTTATAAATATATATATATATTTTTTTTAATACAAATATCACATTTATTTGAATTATATTTTTATTCAATAATATTCAAATATTTCATATTGAAATAATTTTATATTCAAATCTGTATTATTTATATATATGTAAATGTATATAATTTTCAGGTATATGACTTGACCATATGCACTTTTAATGATTGAACGTCAACGATATATTTTACTTATTGCTTTTTTGAATCAGTTATAAGAACAAACTTTTCTTTTCTTTTCTACTTTTTATTATATTTCTTAATATAATATTATGTGTTTTCGTTTTTTTCTTGATTTACAGACATAGCTACCGGAAGTAGCGTAGATTGGGTCAAAGGAACACTTCGCAAACAAATTTCTTACACTTACGAATTGCGTGATCGTGGAAGGTATGGTTTCATACTTCCAGCAAGTCAAATTATTCCAACCGGAGAAGAAACTTTGGACTCGTTAATTGCATTATTCAATGAAGCAGCTGCACGTGGTTATCCTCAGCGATTATAAAAAAAAAAAAAAAAAAAGAACAAAAAAATAAATAAAGAGAGAGAAAAACTTTCATTTGACGCATCGGTG